TATGTTTAATGGCGTGCCTTTAATTACATGCAAATGAGTGATTTAGAATGCACATGTTTGACCACAAATTCCAAAAGAAAGAAGCGACAATTTAATATTCAAAATTTTAAAAAATAAATAAATTAAAAAGGAGCTCTCCTATTGGCAAAAATGGGACCATGTTTCCTGTAATTACTTACGGTTTTATTGCTTCCTTGGATACATCTTTCTTACCTTCCATTGATTATTACTTGATAGGTCTTTTATTCTTCGTGCCCTCTTTCATATGCTTTTTGGAGATGTATTTAGACTTGAAAAACCTCAAATTAGATATTTACTACTTACACTACTCAAAAAGCACATCATAAGTTGACAAGTTTAAGAAATATCAAATAAAGAGAAAGAACAAATATTTTGTCAAGCAAGAAAAACTTGTCTTTCAAACTTCTTGTCATTCTTCAAGGAGTAATGTGTTTTACTCGTATTCTTCTTGTCTATTTTGTAATGCAATATTTCTTTGCACTCATGAACTTACCAAGTTTTTGTAATACACTTGGAGAAAAACTAATAGATATCAATATCTTGCTTAGTTCTTCAAGATTTAATTGAGTTTATTAATGTGAGTCTTAAGGTGTACTCTCTTTTGTATGAAGTCCAAATGATCTTTTTTTTTAACAAAGCTTGTTACAATTGAATTTTTCCATGAAGAGCTTCTTCAACCTCAATCACAATGCAAAAATAACCTCATCTATTAGTGACAAAAGGACCATCAAATGAACATTTTTCTCCACCTACTCTAAAGCATGCTTCTTTTTATGTGTTGTATTCTTTAAAAGTGATGTTGACACTCCCTGATCCTTTAACAAGACTATCATTTTGTTTTTCTATAGCTTAAAATTGTTCCTTTCATTGAATTTGTCGATCATGGATGTAATATCGATCTTCATCCAAAAACTTGTCATAAATGTAAAAGAAACAATACAATATTGATTATTAATCACACCAGTAAAAGATGCAAAACAAACATCACACAAAGTAAGATAAAAATGAATAATCATCTTGTGTATTAAACAAAATAATTATTAAATTACTTCTTCAAAATTCGTCCAAGTACAAATATTATAAAACAATTACATATTAATTAGAAATACACAATAACAACTAACATAAAAAAAATGTATATAATAAATTATCGTTTCACAAGATAATGTAATATTAAATCATCAAACAACCCATCATTGGAAAATGTCTATAACTATTAGACACCTCAACAAGTAAACCATGTCTACAATCATCAACAACTACATTAAATTAATTCAATATATCAAAATTTACATAAAGTATACTATCTAAAACTATATCTAAATTAAGTAATCCATAATATAATTTCATATTGTGTGAGCTAAAATATAGCAGCAAAAACGAGAATTTAAAATATATAGTTGTAGGGCATATAATTCATTGCATAATTTGAAATATAGTTCTTGGTTATATAATCCAAGTTATAAATTAAATTCAAATATTCAGATTAATATAACATCCATAACATTTTAGTCGTTTAGTCGTTTTCTATATTTTTAGTTGGTGAAGAAAATATGTGGCGGTGTAAGGTGCAGAGTAGAAGGAAAAATACATAAATGAAACATTTACAACACTCCGTTCCCTCTCTGCCTTTTGTCTCATGTATATACTCTCACTTCCACATCAGCATTGTTTTTATTGTGCAGCCTATTAACGTGAAAATTGTCAACATTATCCATTGTCCTATTGCACCTGTAAATCTAACAAACAAAGGCATTCTTTGCAAATGCCTTTGAAAACTCCTATACTATCTCATGTTAACTGACTCAAAAACCCTTCATTTCCACCATTTTCTTGTTCACAAAAATTTACAATACAAAAAGGGACCAAGAAAACAAGAATGCACTGTCATAATATTAACGTTGATATTGTACGCATGATACTTGAACCTTACAAGTCTAGTCCTTTTTTGAAAAGGAGGAAAATAGTCAATTTGTCATAAAAAACCACAGTACCCCTAGTATTCAAAACTCTTAATGGAAACAAATGACAGTTCAAATCACAACTAAATGTACTTTCAGATTAACATTGAGCTGAATTATGATCCATTGAATGTGTTGGACTCACGGAACATAAACAGTAAGAAGAAGGAAGAATTGATCCTCCTCAGTTGAATAATAGGAATATAATTGGAAGTCAGAATAATGACAGTACTCCAGACTGAATTATGAGGCTTCATTTGTCAAAATAGATAAATGCTTCATAAGAAAACAGTAAGAGACAAGGAAGCATGATCAACACACATGTTTGTCACGGAAGAGGTTAAGGGTTTTACAATGTCTATGAACAGTTACTAAAGCAGTGACACACCACCTGAAACAATTATTAAACAAGGGGCCAAAATGACCGGTGAACTCATGAGCTAGATATAATCACATTCACACCGAAAAGCTAGGATAAACAAGATGGGATAATACAAGATAGTAGAACAAAAAAATCAAAAATACAAAAAAATTCAATGCCACTATCTACTGTTCATTACGGGATTGCAAATTGAAGCACGTACACTTATCTTTCATGGCTTCACCCTCACTTCCATACTCTTTAAATCTGTACTCTTCCTGCTTAAATGAAGAAGGCACCTTTCCCTCACTGTAGCATTGGTTACACACACTAAAATGAGATTTTGTCTCCTTAAACCGAGAACCAATAATTGGGTAGCGGCAAACCGAGCACACCGAGTTACCATGCCGGTTTCTATCCCCTGTCTCAAGCTTTGTTAGAGTAGGCATGATACCAAAACCCCAATCTGGATCATCAAACAATACTAGAAACTCGGAGAAAGACACCATTGAAGTGTCTGACTCCCCACGAACCTCCATTAATTCACTAACAGCTTGGCTAGGAAGATACACGACCCTTAAC